CAGAGGTCAGACCCACACTCTGCACCCACAGGACAGTGTCACAGATGTAATAAACCACGCGGTTCAGGTTGGCTAGCGTAAGGCAGAAGCGGGGCACTAGGTCCGTGACTTGGATGCTCTGTTCTGTTGCCTGGATGGCGTGAACCACGTTGCCCAGTCTGAACCCTGTGAAAAGAAGCCACAGAATCAGTACTTAATTAGTTCTTAATGGGAGGCAGAAGCCCCGTGACGAGTTAAGGATTTAGAACTTAGCAGCTGATTGCAGTTGAGGCTCACAGTCCTAGCTGAGGAAAGAAGGAGCCCTACCGTGATCCTGAAAAGCCTAAAAGATAGTGACCTTTACGATTTGACACCCCCATTCCAAGGTGTGCCTTAATGTTCATTTCCAGGATACTCCAGACCAGGTTAATCATGGGTGTGTGTTACTGTGTTTGAGTATTAACCTCTACACTTTAGAAGCAAGAGTACTTAATACGAGTTCCAGGCTTAACGTTCTTACACATTTGATTTCACATTTGTGGTGCTTTAAATAAGAATGCTGCCCACCCCCACAGGTTCATAATTGAATGCTTAGTCACCAGGGAGTAGAACTCTTTGACAGTATTAGAAGGATCAGGAAGGGTGGCCTTGTTGGAAGAAGTGTCACTAGGGGTGGGCATTCAGGTTTCAAAAGCCCATCCCAGGCCCAGGCCCAGTCCAAAGTCTCTGTTTCTCTCTCTCTTCTTCTCTTTCCCCCGTTCTCTCTCTTGGCCTATAGATCAAGGTGTGGCTCTTAGCTACTCTCCATTATCACATGGCCTGCCGCCATGCTCCTGTCCATGATGACCATGGACTAAGTCCCTGCAACTGTAAGCGAGTCCCAAATTAAATTCTGTCCTATATAACGGTTGCCTTGCTCATGGTGTCTCTTCACAGCAACAGAACAGTGACTAAGACACCATCAAAAGGCTGCCTTAGGCAAAGCAGCAGTATCATTTGAGGGTCATTCTAGTTCATCTTCCTCTCACTATGGATGAAGAACACAGAGAAATGGTAGGACTGAGGGGTTATGGTGATCAGGACTCACAGGGAGCACCTAGATGAACTACCCAACCACTGCAATTGTGTGCCCTTATATAAGCATACATTAGTCAATTGGGGGTCATCTGTATTTCCTGGGCACCCAGAGATAGGTTATTTGACTTAGGTACTGCCCAGAAACAGCTACCCTCCAAACACAATCTCAGAAGAGCACTTGACATTATTTTAACTAGCACAGAGCAGTTGAAATGACTGTTTCAAAACCGGGGCTTCGGGTTCTCATTCCAGCTCGTGGGCCAGCTGGCTGAATGACACTGGGTAAGTACCTTCTGGCCTCTCAAGACTAGTGAAACTCTAGGGGACACCTCAGCAATGACATTCTGGAGAATTCATTACAGAATTTCTAATCTTAGCCTTCAAAGACAACCAGAAATCTTACCCAACTTTGTTGACTAAGTCTTCTCTCTCTGCCAAATCAGGTTTTGGGGTTGACACTGACGCTCCGGGACAGTTAGCACCTAGCAGCCCTGAGCCTCTGCTAGGGGAAACCTCCCTTTCAGAGTCCTTTGTCTCTCCAGCCACACCTCAAATCCTACCTCCTTCAAAATATTTTTTTCCCAGCCATCATATTTGGCACTAAATATGACTTATGTTATTTTATCTCTCCCATAAAGCTGAGGAATGCTCACTTATTAAGTAGGTACTCGAACATCTCATCCTAATATATCTGCTCATCTACTGTCGCAACATCTGCTTTGCATCACACAATGGAGTCAGGCATGCAACTGTTATAAGAAGCATGGGCACTCCCAGGATGACTGATATGAGGGTGTAGCCATGGGTGAAAACCCCTGCCATCACTCTTTGACTTTATGTGGAGCTACCTGACAAACTAAGAGAATGTACCCATTCGGGTCCCCCACGGATCCTCACTGGAGGAGGAGGAAAAGGCATGTGCTCTAGGATATGGCTGTCCTGGTCTACAGAACTGCAGGGGTCATGCTAGACTGAAGCTCATGTGGACACTGCCAAGACACTCTTAGAACTGAAGTGAACCAGCACACCGTGTGCCCCACCGGCTAAGATTATGCAGGAGGCTACGGTATGGCATCAAATGCGACCAGAGGGAGACATCTGTGAACGGCCCACGGCAAAGCATTCAGCCTTTTCTGGATCCCCAGCAGGACTACTGCCAGCTGCACCGAAGACTTGGGCGAGTGGAAATGGAGACCTTGAAAGCACGTTGTCAATTCCAGGGGCCGAGGCTAAGGATTTTAAACCAGAAGCCACCGTCCCTTGAGAGACAGGTACTTACATTTACGGCCAGTGCTCACACTGGACTCCAACCTCTTGAGCTTCGTTACCACCGCCTCTTTGCCAGCTCTAGACTCTAACAAATATCTAAGCAACATGCATGCGTGTTGAGTGGCTCTGAAATGGAAAAAAAAAATGAGGAAAATGGTTTACAAAGCAAATAAAATTTGATTCATAAAGGGAAGGAGGAATATATGCTCTAAAAGCAAAGAGAAACATCGTGCTGAGGCCAAATTTCTGGGACGGTTTCTTATGTTGCAGCTCTTACAAAAGCAACATTCTGCAATAGTTCTTGCACAGGAGGGCCAAAGGGTGAACATGCAATGGAAATGTAACACAAAGGTTAGGAAAGAGGACTCTAAAGCCCTTTGCTGGCACAGGAAGATGGATGTCATGTAAAGCTGCACAGAGATGTCTCTCAGCTCCATGAAGGTCCAAATTCGCTATCTGCCCCTGGGTAGATCCGATTTCCAAAATGATCGTTTCTACCACATAGTTTAAACTTACTATTTCTATGACAGGACACAATCTCAAAAACCAGTCTCCATATTTAGTTTTTAAGACTAAAGGACCAAAGACACACCAATCTACAAATCAGCACCTATAGTGTTTGTCCTTCAAACCAACTAGTATTTTACATACAGCTGTTTAATAATAGTGCACATTCAATACAGTGATTATTTTCACACCAACAATGGTAACAATAACAATGACATGGCCACGAATACCATAAATTAGAATCACAAACATCCAAATGCATCTGCAGCCTACTTAATAAAAGCAGGCAGGCTCTGGGCCAGGTGTGGTAGTTAGTGCACACCTTTATTCCCAGCATTCAGGAGGTAGAGGAAGGTAGTCATAACCAGCCTGGACTATATACAGAATTCCAGGACAATCAGGCCTACAGAGTGCAACCCTGTCTCAAACAAAACAAAGAACAACAACAAACGAAGATCAGTAGGTGCTGGTTGGTCCCTGCTGTCTTAGAACTGCACCGGAGTCCCTGTAGGGTATCAATGTTCTTCTCAGCAAAACTGGCACAGGGCTGGTGCTCGTGCCTACAATTCCAGCGCTCAGAAGGCTGAGACAAGGGGATTGTGGTGGCAGTCTAGGCCACAGAGTGAGATTCTCCCAAAATAAATAAATAAATCCTCCCCAGAATAGTATGATGATGAGCTACTTCTGGGTAGTGAAGTCAAGAAGGGAGAGTAGAAGACAGAAGCCACTTCTGGCCAAAGGGCTCAAACTGCGCATGTCAATACATCCTCCTCTCTCAGATTTGGTCTAACAGGAGGGGGTCTGAAACCAAGGCATTATTTTAGGAATGCTAGCAGTTTATGGTTACACAGATCCTTAAAAGGGTTGGGAAGCAAAATTTTGTTGTCCACCTACATCCAAAATTACTATTTTATTAAAAGGCATGGCAGGGTACATTCTGGGCACACTAGAATTCTGTGTTTTGACTTTTGGTAGAGCATGTATATCTTCAATCATTTTGAGAACCTATCAAGTCAGACGCAATACAGCACAACTAAGTTAAGAGGCGGGCGCTAGAGTGGACCGTGTGGACCTGCATCTCTCGGCTCTGCAGTTCCGTTCTTCTTAACCTCCTGCTTCAGTTTCCCTAGATGTGAAATTGGGAGGTTAAAGTGTCTCCTCCACGGGGCTGCATTGAGGAGCTCTACAGTTGGTCTCCTGTTTTCTTCTACGTTTAGTGTACATTAGAGGTTGAACACAAACACCTGGAAAGGGCTGTTAAATAAAAACTGCTATTTATTTATTTATTTATTTATTTATTTATTTTTCCTTTTCTTTTAAATGGTCACTGAGCACCACTCAGACAAATTTCTCTTTTAAAACAAAAATAAAGGGGGATTAGTTTCAAACACTCATGGGTGCTTTCAAAACCACACCATGTACTTTGGAGGTATCGACCAAATTTTTTTTTCCACTGTACTTCTTACAGTTTACAACGCTTCTTAACACTCTGTCTCCAAGACACAGGCTGAGCCCAAGTGGAAAATAAAGAAGATACAACTGTCTTTCCATGAGTACTTCATCTGGCGCTCCAAGCCGCAGGGGTTCTGCTTCCTTAGGTACAAAAGAAACCCAAAGTTTCTCTCGAAAAGAAATCTCTAGGAAAGATGTTGCGCGTTGGGGACTCAGTTTCCCTCTCTGGGGGCAAGTCAGAAGATAAGCTGCTATCATAGGCTGCTGTCACCGAGGTGGCGGGCGCGCACAGCCCCACTGGATTTCGGAGGAGGAGGGACTCGGGTCCCAACTCCCTCAAGTGGGAGCTGGCCGCGTCCTCGTGTCACGATTTACAGGGCTGTTATCTCCTTCTCCGAGCCCTGGAGAGGAGGAAATCTTGGGTCCGGACCGGACAGGGGTGGAGGCCGACGGCACCCGACTCACCTGAAAAGTCGGTCCCGGCCCTGGCTCTGATTGGTGAAGCGGATGAAGGCGTCCATGGCTCCCACCCACGGCCACGCGTGGCACCCGGCTCACTCGTGGGACCTCTGGGGCGCCTCGGGTCCCAGGGGACAGCCGGGGTCAGGGCAGCCGTGGAGTGGGCGGAACCGGTTCTCTCCGCCCACACGGGGGCGGACATGTACCTTCGGAAGCGCGGCTTTTTAGGTTTCCGGTGGGGACCGGAAGTAGTAGTTACTAAGGCGATGCCAAGCCGCGAGCAAAGCTACGTCTCGCCAGTTCAGCTGTAGAGTGGCTTCCTCCTGCCTCGTTTCCAGGTGGAGGCACTGAGTGGGTCAATCCGCTCCCTGCCTCGGGCGTCCCGTTGTGCTCAGGTACCCATGAACCCCACCTGGAACGCTGAATGGTCTTCTCAGGTGGAGGACCCCGAAGTCTTCTTTTGGAGACCGCAGGCGTCCTCATTTCCCTGTGTCTGGCCTGATGTGGTTTATCTCTGTCGCCTGACAGAGATAAGCCAGTCCTAAAGGGTATTTCTAGCTGGAGAGTGGGGAAAAGTGAGAGAATTTTCTATTAGGAGTATTGAAACCCGAATGATTCTTTCCTGAGGGAATCCTAAAAGGCTCAACATGAACAAAGTGCAGGCGAAGAAGATCGTAGTGATATCGCGCTGCTGATCATTGGTTCTGTGGAACTGGAAAATGGGGCCTTACTTATTTTGTAATCTTCACTTCACCCTTCCCTGTTTTTCTGTTTGCTTCTCTCATTTCCCATTATTTCCTCTCATCCTTGACTCCGATGGCTAGGGTGGGCGTATTCTGCTCAAACACAGACTCAGTCATGTCACCCTGCCTTCTTAGAGGATCCCCCAGAGGTGTTTTCTCAGGATGGGGTAACGTGGGAGTTGCCAGTCTTCTCTGAAAGCATCTCTGCCGGGACCTCTCAGTGACACTTCTCTAGACAGCTGTACCTCACCTCACTGATCCCTGCAGGGACCTGGGCCACAGTGCACAGCCCTCCCTTGGCTGGCACTCTTTCCAGAGACATCAAGGCTCCCTTTTGTGGGTTAGACTAGGGAGGAGACTGGAAGGCGATTTTATTGAGCATTTGAAAGAAAAACAACAGGGCAGGCAAAGTGTAAATCTCAGAAGTGTCCAGGTATAGAGAGATGAAGAAGAGAGAAAGCTGTGCTTATTCACAGTGGAGGTCGCTAAGCAGCCACGTGGTGAGAGAGGGTGGGGCTGGAGCTTCAGAGAGCCAGTGAGAAGACCCAAGGCTCTGCAAGTAGCCGCTTGCAACTAATTTTATAAGATTGTTCTCTATAGCCACGAAATAAGGTGGCTTTCCCCTTTTCTGCTTTTCTTATTTTTATTACCTGCCCCAGACCTATCCCTAAGACTTGAAGGCTGAAACGGTTTCTCTCCCACCCATCAGTCCCCACAGCCACTTTTGAAATAATCATTTGGAGGTTTAATATTAGTTATATTCTGTTAACCGATGGCGCAGGCTTCTTAGTGGCTAGCCCTAAGCCACTACAAATGAACTTATTATAATATAAATTAACCCATTTCTAATAATCTGAATATCACCACATGCCAGTGACTGGCAATACACTGGCTTCTTACTCCTCTGGTGTCTGCTGGCACCTCTCCGACTCTGCCTTCTTTCTCCCTGTCTCTCTGCTTGGATTTCCTGCTTATCTTTATTCTGCCCTGTCATAGGCCAAAGCAGCTTTATTCATCAACCAATAAAAGCAGCACATATTCACAGCATATGGAAAGACATCCCACATCATGGCTTCGCTTTTTCTTTTTTCTTAAAGATTTATTTTTATCTTTAATTGTGTATGTGTGTGTGTGTGTGTGTGTGTGTGTTCATGCACATACATGTATGCCTTGTATATGCTGGTGCCCTCAGAGGCCAGAAGAGAGCATTGGAGCCCCTGGAATGGGAATTACTGGGGAGCTATGAGCCACTTGAAGTGGGTGTAGGAACTTAACTTGGGTCCTCTTGAAAAATAGCAAACATTCTTTACTGCAAAGTCATCTCTCCAGCCCTATCAAGTTGCTTTCTAATTTCTTTTTTAAAATGCCAGCTTGGATTATCATATGGGTTATAACAAATATATAGTCAATGTAGGGAGAACTGACATTTTAACAAAATGAATCTTCCAACCCATGAATAAGTTCTCTCTCTCCGTTTAATCTTTGCTCTGAGATAGTTTTTTTTTTTTTTTTTTTTTTTTTTTTTTTTTGTTTTTNTTTTGGTTTTTCGAGACAGGGTTTCTCTGTGGTTTTGGAGCCTGTCCTGGAACTAGCTCTTGTAGACCAGGCTGGTCTCAAACTCACAGAGATCCGCCTGCCTCTGCCTCCCAAGTGCTGGAATTAAAGGCGTGCGCCACCACTGCCCGGCTTTGAGATAAAGTTTGTTAAAGGTTGTTTGGCCTTCTACATTCTAATACATCATTTCGTGTGTGTGATTCTGATGCAACAATTCCCTCTTGGGCTTATGTTTCCCACTAGCAAGTCTAGACCCTTCTGAATGCTCTATCCACTGCTTGTGACTTATGAGATTGTCTAGTCTAGCTAGTTAAAGAAACCACAGTAGTCCCTGCTCTGTGTGAGTTTAGCTGACTGTCCTCACTAACGCCCTCAAGTGGTCCTTGCCCCAGTATCAACTAGCCTTGTCCATCACATGCTGGAAGCATCATCGTATATGCACTCCAGCATGTAGGGAAAGACCATGATGGCAGCAGGGTCTTTATAGGACCCCCATAGACCACAGCCACTTTATCAACAGAAGACCATGCTGCCCTGAGTTAAGCATCTTAAAATGTCTCATAATTTTGTCATCAAATGCTTTTTAAAGCCATGACAGGCTGGCACGATGGTTGAGTGGGTAAAGGCACTTGTCGCCAAGCCTAATGACTGAGCTCAGTTTCTAGGACTCGTGAGGATGGAGAGAACCAACTCCTCGGGGTTGTTCCCTGAACTCTCATATATCTTAGTTTGGGTTTCTATCACTGTGAGGAGACACCGTGACCATGGCAACTCTTACAAAGAAAAACATTTAATTGGGCGCACAGTTTCAGCGGTTTAGTCCATTATCATCATGGGAGACATGGCAGACGTGGTGCTAGAGAAGAAGCTGAGAGTTCTCCATCTTAATCTGCAGATAGCAGGAGTGATTGTGTACTGGCCATAGCTTGAACATATATGAGACCTCAAAACCCGCCCCTACAGTGACACACTTTCTCTAACAAAGTCACACCTACTCCAACAAGACCAAACCTCCTAGTAATGCTACTCCTTATGGGCCAACATTCAAACACATGGGGGTCTATGGGAGTCATACCTATCCACCAGACCACACATGCACTATGGCACACATGTGTATGTGCATATGTGAGCACACACACACAAATAAGTAGGAAAATGTAATTAACATTTGAAATCTCTTTTACACAGAATGGTACACAACTTTTAAGCTTTTGAAATACAGATTATTTTTTCCCTTCCCGTAGTCTTCTACTTCATACAGAAATATAGAGAAGAGATGCTAAGTTATAACTACTTTAGAAATATCTAATTATTCTGATTTTGCAGGTTTTTTAGTCAGTAGTCTTTCCATGCCCGAGATAGTTCTGTAGACTCTTGAAGAAGTTCACAGATGCAGGACATGGGGCATGGGACCCACAAAGCTCCTGATGAGGGAACACATTACGCCACCAAGATTGGAAGTGTTAAGCTGCATCTGACTGGTCCTGAGGAGAGAGAAAGAGGGAGACTCAGTGGCTTAACCAGAGCCATCTGCAAAGGCAGACAACCAGGGAAAGGTATTGGCTGTAAGTGGGTTCAGTTTAGAACACAAGATAGTTACAATATCAGGAGGAGAAGAAGGACAACAGAATGACGAATTCTTCCACATCATCATGGGTTAGTCTGGAAGTACCTGTCCCTTCCGATGCCCACGTGACTATGAAGACCATATCCCGGGAATGTGGTAGCAATCCTAGGATACATAAGGAAGTCGTCTGAGACAGCCTGGCTTCTTATTTACCTTCTTCTCAAAGTCTCTCCTCTCGCTTTGCTTCTCAGCTTGGAGTTCCCAGAAGCTCTCACTGCCACCTGTTGAGATGTCATCCTCCAAAGGAAGTCAGGCTCAGAAAGTCAGGCTGTCTGTGTTTGCCAAGGGACCACTGGAGATTCCCTCTCCAACAGAGGCAGACTGGCCTAAGGATGATGAAAAGGATTTTGTCTTCAGGGACGTGGATCAAGAGCTGGACTCCCTGCCTCAGCCTTACCGAATGATCAACAAGCTAGTGAACCAGCTGTTTGACCACTCGTGGGAAATTATCCAAGAGACAGAAGCTGTCCGGGAAACTGAGAAAAACCGTGTCCAGCCCACTGTCTACCCTCCAGTCACAGAGATCCAGGTATGAACGAGGGTGCCTGGTTTTCATTTCAATGTTAATGGAAATGCCTGGTTCAGGGAAGGGAGGAATTCCTACTGAGCTCTATGAACAGCACATGTGCATTTTTGATAGCTAGTAGGCATGCTGCTTTTGGTAAAAGAAAAAAAGCTGGCAGTGGCCTGCGGGCAGTGGGGTGTTATGGTTAGCTGACTGCACTAAGGCCCTTTGTGCTGTGTTATTGACACTGAAAAGCTTCATTAATGTATCAGGCCCCCTCCATGCTTGGCAGTTGAGGCCTGTCAGTGGCTCAGATGTTGTTCTTCCCACAGGACACTAGATTTAATACAGCAGAGGACCTGTAGGCGTGCTTACGTTCAGAATATCTATCTAGTCTCAACTTTTGTTTTCCCTGGCTACTGCCCCCCAAAGGGAAATGCTTATGGCAAGCATTTTCAACAGGCATGCATTTGGCGATGCTGTGCCTACGATGAGCTCTCTTTGAAAAGTTAGCTCAGATTGCTCGATGGCATCGACAGCTGGAAAGACTCAGTTTGGTCCTTTTGTGTCTGTGCTTCCCCAGCTCAGCAAAAGGCCTGGCGGCATGGCTGTTTCACAAGACTATCTGTTTGTTGGAGGAGTCAAAGGATTCTCCATCTATAATCTGCACAATTTCAAAAGAATGTATGTTTGGGAAAAGTTTAAGGTTGATGTTGTTTCCATCTGGGCCACGGATCTGGGCAATGAAGTACTTATTGTTCCTGTGGATGAAATAGGTATTTGTTTTTCTTCATTTTTAGATTAATTTATAAGTACTTGTAGACTGGTATTCAGTTTAATTTCTTTTTCAAGTATGGGTGGAGAGAGAGAGAGAGAAGAGTGAGGGGGGACTTATGGGAAGGACTGATGTTTTCATTTAAGAGAGAAAATCTGAAGAAATCTGAAGGTCTGAGCCAGGATGGGTCAATAAAGGAAAAATTGTTCTGTGATGGTCCAAGCTGTGGATTTAGCTGAAGTGAGGTGGAAGATACACGGGAGTGTCGGTTCTGTTTTTGCACCTTTCCTCTAAGAATAAAATTAGCTCCAAACAAAAAACTTAGAAATGAAATGAGAGGGCTGGTAGGATTGCCTCGCTGTCGTGCTGTGCTTTGGGCCCTAGGACTCACCTGGCTCCTGCAAGTTGTCCTCTGACCATCACATGCCTGTGTGGCATGAGTGCCCTTCTCATAATAAATAAGTTCTGATAAAAAAATTTTAATTTCTTAAAATGGAAAGGGGAATACAGTAGATGAGGTGATGCGTAGCCACTCATACATACAACCTGAAACTCCACGGCAGAAGAAGCAAGAGGATCGGGAGTTCAAGGTCATCCTCCATTACGTAGTTTTCGACCATGCTGAATTACATGAGAGCCTATCTCAATTACCCTTCCTACCAAAAAGACTTAACAATAAACCTATTTGTGGTAAAGGAGGCATACTGGGCAGCACAGGCAGTGAAGGTTCCTTCCTGCGTTGGATACCTGGATGAGCTTAGTAAGAATGATAGGAGAATAAGGTTTCGGGTCATGTGAATTGAAAAAGTCCATCTGAACCCACAGATTTGAGATACCTGCAGGATATCTGGCTGGGCAAGACACAGGGTCTTTGGGATAAAGGAAAAGCCATATTCATTATGATCCCTTATACAGATAGTTTCATGTCTGTGTTATCTTCTTTTGATGAATCTGAAGGCAGACTGCCTTGGGGACCCTTGTACAGTGTCACAGAATACCTGTCCCATGAATCTTTATTAGGATGGATTAGATTCACCCACAGTGGGCCAAACACCTCTATGTGGTCAGTTTGTATCATGGGTGCAAAGGCAGGTTATGAATAACTTCCTAAATAAACGTAAAAAGTAAAAAAAAAAAAAAGATAGAAAGATAGAAAGAAAAGAAAAAAGGAAGAAAGGGAGGGAGGGAGGTAAGAAGTCACTGTAGGTGACAATTGCATCCTGAACTCAACAGCATTAATTGCACGAGGAGCCTAGGGGGTTAAGGCTCATGGAACGGTGAGGGATAATCCTTTCTGTCAAAGGAGCTTATGAACCCAGCAAACAGCTGGGTGGCAGCGTGAAGAAGGGGCTGGGAGTGCTGTGACTGGCCTGCTTACAGGAGACCTCCAGGAAATGTGGGTAACACTAGCTAGGCAGGAGGGGTCTGGGCGGGAAAGAAGACTGAGAATCTCAAGGGGACTGCTGGGGGATCAGAGCAGTATAGGCCGCATGGGGCAGTGAGCTTAGAGGCAGAGACTATGTCCCGACCCCACCTGGCTTCCTGGGCTCACAGTCTCTTATGTTCCTGTTTCAGGCATTGTGAGATTGTTTTACTTGTATAAAGACAGTCTTCTTCTCATCAAAGCCATCAATGAAATGGTGAGTCCCTGTTCTTTCACCTTTGGCTGGGAAACATCAAGTAGGCAACGCAAGGCACTCACTGATAAAGGCTTGTATCCAGGATGTATGAAGCTGCAGCAAATCAAGCTATACTAAAACCAAATGGGACCAAGATGGCTCAGGGGTAAGGTGCTTGCTGCAGAGCCTGATGCCCGATGACCTGCGTTCTTAGGACCTATGTGGCAGAAGGAGAGAACAGGCTCCCAAAAGTTGAGTTCTGACTTCAGTTCTCACTGTGACAAACACACACACAATTTTAAAATTGCTTTTTTTTCCCTGCATTTAAGTTTTTAATTCATGTGACTTGTTTAAAATGGGCATCCATAATAGTTGTCAAGAGAAGGTGGGAGAGGAAGGCAGGGCAGGGCAGGGGAAACAAACCCCCCTCTTTCGGTAATAAAGCGCCTGCTTTATCCCGTCATGGCTTTTATGATCTCCTGAGACATATGGTCCTTAAAAATTGTGTTCCACTTTTAAAGACCAATCTTACTCCAATGGACGCCATGTGGGCTGCTACCAGTTTCTCTGGTCCCAGATGGCATTGGGGTTGTACTTGAGATGAACTCTCTTTCCCAGATGGTTGTTGCAAACACCTCCATTGTGGGGCAGAAAAATCTCAAACCTATGGGTGTTGCAACCTCTAGAAATTTTTAAATTACTTTTAATAATAACTGTCTATCCTAGATTTTTTTTTAAAGCCTTTCTTTTAGCTGGCTTTCTGGTCAGGCAGTAAGATGGGGACAGTCCCAGAGTACAGTGTAGAAATGGCAGTGACTAACCCAGAACTACTCAAGGACAGAGAAGCAAAAAAGGGAGCAGAATCTTTGGAGGAGCAAGGAAATGAATCCCATGCCAAGAAAGACTCCGCTGAAACTCTAGTCTACAACCGCCATGGATTCTTGTCTGGGAAATGCCGGCTGCTATGGTAACTGAGCAGTCAGGTGATGCTTGCCAGGCTCTGTGAAGCTGTTGGAGACTCACAACAGTCAGGGAGATGGGATGGAAGTTTTGTTTGGGGACAGATACGATCTCACTAAGGGATGTGAGAGTATGTCGTCAACTTCCAGAACCTTAGAACTGGGCCATAAAAATGCCCCAGGCACAGCAGGAGTTGAAGGATTCAAATGCAAGGGCTGGAGAGGTGACTTAGCCAGCAAGAGTGCCTGCTGCTCTTCCCAGTCCGTACATCAGGCCACCCTGAAACGGCAGCCCAGGGATATGACACCTTCTTCTAGCCTCCTTGGGCACCCACACCACACATGGCATATACTCTTACAGATACACACATTAATATATATACATATATGTACATATGCAAATATCATGGAATGGAAAATAGCAGAAGTTGATTTTGTGTGTGTACACGTGTGTGTGTGTGTGTGTGTGTGTGTGTGTGTGAGAGAGAGAGAGAGAGAGAGAGAGAGAGAGAGAGAGAGAGAGAGAGAGCAGAGTCACTGCACACATGTGGAGGTCAGAAGATGACTTTCAGGAGTTGGTATCTCCACTGTGACATTCAGAAAGAACTATACTTCTCAGTATTTTTTTCATTAATAAGTTCTCAAAACTATAGTAATTGCAGGTTTTAAAGTGCAGTTTGACTTGTGTGTGTTCATATGTGTATACATATATGTGCAGATGGGCATGCACCCATGTGGAGGCCAGAGGACAACTTCTAGTGTCTTCCTCAACCACTCTCCACCTTAGTTTGGCACAGGCTCTCACTAACTCTGTGTGTAGCTCACTGATTTGACCACCTGGAGAAGCAAGCTTGGGGTCTTCTTTTCTCCGCCTCCCCAGCACAGGGATAAGAGGCACACACTGCCTTCCCCAACTCATCGTCATCATCATTAACTTTATGTTTTGACAATTTATATCCAAATTTTACACGAATGCTGGGGATCCAAACTCGGGTCTTCGTGCTTGCATGGCAAGCCCTTTGCCAGCTAAACTGTCTTTCCAGGCCCATGGACTTTGGAGTTTTTGTTGGTCATTTGTTTTTGTGTTTTGAAAGAGGGTCTCCCTATGTCGCCCTGCCTGGTCTAGAATGTGCTATGTAGACCAGGTCAGCTTTGAACTTGGAGAGATCAGCATGCCTCTGGATTAAAGGTGTGCACCATAGTGCCTGATGGGCTTTCTTTTGATTGTGATCTGAACATAGCAATTGTGAAAGATATTAATATCCTCACTGAGGCAACTGAGGAAACTGAAAAACTGACTAGTAATTAGCTTTCATTAGGAATTCATTAGGGGAACTTAAATAAAAATTAGCAATTTCTTGGGTTTGGACGGTAATAAATACAACTAAAATTGTGACGCCACAATGCAACATCATGACACAATGGAAATTGTCACAGTGGAGTGTAATGCTACAATGGGCATTCCAGTGGCATGGTGGAGCTTTGTGGACTCACAACGTAATATTGTTTGTAGTGCAGAACAGTGCATCACTGTGATGTCACAGCGCAGGACAGTGACGTCACAACGCATCATTGTGATGTTACAGCTCAGGATAGCGATGTCACAACGCATCATTGTGATGTCACAGTGCAGGACAGTGATGTCACAATGCATCTTTGTGATGTTACAGTACAGGATAGTGATGTCACAACATATCATTGTGATGTCACAGTGCAGGACAGTGATGTCACAATGCATCTTTGTGATGTTACAGTCATGATAGTGATGTCACAACACATCATTGTGATGTTACAGTGCAGGATAGTGATGTCACAACACATCATTGTGATGTCACAGTGCAGGACAGTGATGTCACAACACATCATTGTGATGTCACAGTCATAATAGTGATGTCACAGCACATCATTGTGATGTCACAGTGCAGGATAGTGATGTCACAACACATCATTGTGATGTCACAGTGCAGGACAGTGATGTCACAACACATCATTGTGATGTCACAGTCATGATAGTGATGTCACAGCACATCATTGTGATGTCACAGTGTATGACAGTGATGTCACAATGCATCATTTTGATGGTTCAAGAAAGCATTTTAATGTACCTTACATCACAAATTGTCCAGTGCAACATTGTGACAGCACAGTTAAGTAATATGACATCAGTTGGGATGCAATGTGATATCACAGTGGAGATTAAAACATCACAATGCAGCAGTGTGGTGACAAAATTGAATATTGTAATGGCACAATGCAGAATTATTATGTCTAAATGCAAACTTGTGTTATATGGTAGATCATTATAACACAAAAACGATATTGTCATCACACAATGGACATAATGCCACAGTGCAGCATTCTGATTACACAATTTAGCTCTGTGATGTCTCAATGAAACATTCTAATGACACAATAGAACATTATCTTGTCACAATTCAGCATTGTGGTGGCACAGTACAATATTATGTCTACAGTGGAGCACTGTGACATCACAAACAGCGTTAAGATTGCAGAATGGAGAGTTGAGATGTCACAATGCATCATTGTAATGTCGTCATGAAGCATTGTGTTGGCACAAGTCAGCATTTTGAGGTAACAGTGCTGTATTATGGGGTCACGATTGCGCATTTTTGTGTCACAGTGGAGCTACGCTGTAGCCCAAATGAGCCTGGTACGGGTACAGTGGAGCATCATGAGAGCCACATGGGGGCTGGTCATGCCACTTTCATTTTGTAGGTTTGCAAAATCTCTGCTGTAAATTGATAGATATTGAGATACATAAATAAAAATTGTTTGCTCTTTAAACAAATTAAGGGGCTCACCAATAAAACTAGTCTATCCACCTTATTTTATTAGTAGCTCTCAAGCTCCTCCAAGGTAGCATACCCATCCCCCAGCCTCTCTTAGTTGGCCCCAGATTGGAGGAGCTTTATTCCAAGGCTACACCCAGCTTCTGCTCTATTCCAGCTTGAGGCATGTCCAACAAGCACCAGTGTTCAGTATCGTAGAGATCTCACCTTGACTAAACTGAATTGACTTTAGGGTTTGCAAACCACATCAGATGGCATCCCATGACCCACGAGGAACGGTGTCTACAGCAAGTCCCATTTCTTCACATGCTATCTTGTCCCGTTCCTGGGCAGAGATGGGGAAGGCAAAATGATGGGCGGCACCACACCATGGCAGGCTTCTGAGGACCCCTGTCCCGGTGTGCCCCACAGGAACCCCTGCCATATGCTCCTCTCCTGTAGCAGCTGGCCCTCACTCTCTCGGCATCTCTTCTTTTCAGGATGATGCCAGCAAGCAAAGCAGCTGTGTAAAGACAGAGCTCTCTCAGACCGGGGACTACGCTGCATTCCTCTTCCAAGGCAAGCTCACCCAAAAGCTGTGAGGGAGGTTCTGATCTGTGTCTCTTCCTTTTATTTAGGACTAATTCTAGATTTAGATATGTGTGGTGGCACCAGGGAGGCTCAGGTAGAAGGATCATGCGTGTAAGGCTACATAGTGAAACCCTGACTCAAAAAAACAAACAAACAAAATAAATAACTTTCAATTTAAAAAAAAAAATGCAAGGGCTGGAGAGATGGCTCATCATTTGAGAGCACTGGCTGCTCTTCCAGAGGCCCAGGGCTTGATTCCCAGCATCCCCATGACAGCTTACAACCGTCTGTAACTCCAGTTTCAGGAGATCTGACACCCTCTTTTGGGCACTGCACACAGGTGGTGTACAGACATACCTGGAGACGAAACACTCATACACAGGAAATAAATAAAGCCTTAAAAATAAAACCAGAACAGTAGCAAAGCCAGACATAGTTCCTCCATATTCTTCACTAGCCTCCATTTACCCTATGGCGTGAGTGTGGACACAAAGCCAGTAACAATGGTACTTGATCACTGACTAGCCCCTACTGGCCGGGTTTCCCATCGCTTCAGCTTTTTTTTTCTTGTTATTTTTTTCTCCTTGTTTTAGGCAAAGATACAATATCGCATGGAGTCACATGTCCCCCTAGTGTACTCCTGTGACAGCTTCTTGGTCATTGCATGGTTTCCATTATCTTGACATTTTCCAGAAGAATCAACCAAGTAGCAAGTTGGGTGCCCTTCACTTCAGGGTGTCTACCTTTTTTCTCATGGCCCAGCCGAGGCTGGGATTTAGGGGAAACTAGCACACTGTCTCAGGAACTGTAGGGTCCCAGCTGACTTGCTTTTGCTCATCTTAGCCTAGCTCACAGGTTCCTCCACACTGGCTCCAAAATCCTGTGCACAAGCAAAGCAATCCTTATACCCTACCCTCCAGAGTAGCTGTCACTCTGGGTCTACCTAGCTCTTTTTTATCCTCTTCAAGGAGCAAGTCCCTAAGTCCAGACAGCATTCAGAGGAAGGTGATGTAGGTGTCTCCCGAGGAGGAGTATCAAAGATCGTGTGGTCTTCTGCTGAAACCACTGCTGTAATAATTAGACATGTGGGGAGCAGCTTTGAGAAGATACAGATATCTTTTTTGTCTTGTTTCTTTCCTTCTTTTTTTTTAAACTCTTCTCTCATATATTACATCCTGACCAGTTTCCTTTCCTCACGGTCTCTTCTCTCCCCTAGATCCACTCCTCCTCCGTTTCCCTTCAGAAAAAGGCAGGCTTCCCAGGGATGTAACCAGACAAGTATACCAAGTTCAATAAGGACAAGGCACCTCCCCTTGTTAAGGCTTGACAAGGCAACCCAGTAGGATGAAGGGGGTCCCAAAAGCAGGCAAAAGAATCAGAAACAGCTCCGTTCCCACTGTTAGGAGCCCCATAAGAACACCAAGCCACACAACTGTGACGTGTGTAGAGGGTGCTAAGATTGGTGGGTAAACTTTTTTGTTTTGTTCTTTGTATTTTGAGGCAGCATTTCTCTGTGTAGCTTTGGCTGTCCTGGGATTCACTCCTTAGACCAGGCTGGCCTCAAACTCAGAGATCTGGCAGGTAAAACTTTAAGAAGAATTAAGATATCTGAGATTATCCGCCAGTCTTAGCCCCTGTAGCCCATCTTGCCGGCTGCAGTTATGCCTGTGTAAACAGAATATATTTTATTCAAATGTTTGGTAGTTTGATTTTCAGCTTTTAAATATTTGAACGTATTTTATATGAGTCTGAATTTATACTTTTTTTTGTCCCCTACGGGCCCTCAGATGCTAAATGCTTGAGGAAGATAGAGATTTGAGATTTTAGAAAATTTAGGGCATAGTAGGGGCCTGAGAGATGGCTCAGCAGTTAAAAGCACTGGATCCTCTTCCGGAGGACCCAGGTTGGATTCCCAGTATTGATATGGTAGCGAACAACCATATGTAACACTAGTTCCAGAGGATCTGGCACCCTCTTTTGGCCTCTGCAGGTACCAGGCACATACATGATGTACAAACATACATGCAGTCATGTTCTTGGGCTATCACAACAAAGTACCACAAAGTGGGCAGCTTAGAATGATAGGCATTTATTCCATCATGGTTCTGGAAACTGGAAGAGTGATGTTAAAGTGTCCAGATGGCTGTGTTCTTAATGGAACATTGAGGCAGGACCCCAGTCCGTGGGAGAGAAACCTCTCCCAACTGGGCCTTGCACTGGGACAAGGCCCAATAGCCGCCCATAGATCATCATCTCAAAGGTTGGCTGAAAGAATTCCAACCTTTCCATTGCTCCAAGACTCTCTTACTGTGCTCAGATGTGCCACCTTCCTTCCCTAGGTGGCAATGTCAACACTAGGGCAGACTGCCAGTAGAACTGACTGTTTGCAGCACAGAAATCAGGGGACTTGGCAAAAAAGACAGTTTGATTAAAAATGCATTGTGTCAGTGTTGTGGGAGAACATCGATTCCATTAGATAGCAGTGGCGTAAGGAGTCAGCTCTCCATGCAAACGTTGCTCGGTTAGTGAAGGCTGGCCATAGCCAGTGCTTCAGTTGGTGCAAGCCTCTCTTCCATGGGTGCCTGCTGCAAAGGTTCTGGCTCTGCAGGCCAGCACTTCCGAGAAAACACACCTTCTTCAGCTGAAACTCGCCTGCTAGCAGTTTCTTAACGCTTGCTTGTTTGGTTTCCCAACGCAGGAGCTGGGGATATTTGGCTGGAAGTGTATAAATTGCCCAAGGAGACTTGGATAAAGGAAATGGAGTACCCACAGTCTGCTCAAAATCCAAAGAAAAAAACCAAGCAGCTACAACTGGTAGGACACAGCTTTTTCAATCACTGCTTTTCTCTCCGCCCTTAGCCCAAATCTACCCTAAATCCCCCGTGGAAATAGCAAGGCCACTGAAAGGCTTGACAGATGAGAGCAAGAACAGTGACTGTCTCCAGAACTGACTTACTTTAGACAGAATATTTGTCAATAGAGGTATCTTGAGGAGCCCGAGTTTCAGGGTCCCTCTTGACTTAGACTTGCTACCCCTGAGACGGCACACAGGCAATTCTTTCACGGGGGATGGGGGGTTGTTCTGATTTCTGCCCCACAGATAACTTTCCCTCTCCTGGTCTGAAGTGATCCTTGAAGATTTTGTGGTCCACTCAGGGTCTCCCAGAGTGTAGTAATACAGACAAGGTTTTTCTGTATAGCCCTGGCTGTCCTGGAACTCTCTTTATAGATCAGGCTGGCCTAGAACTCAGAGATCCTGAGTGCTGGAATTAAAGGTATCTGCCTCCACTGCCTGGCTATTCACTTGTTTTTTTTTTTTTTT